GTTACCTGCTTTGTCAGCAGGGACCAGTACGTACTGATCATGTAATCTAATTCTTTTTTCACTTCTGGATTATTGAATACAGAAGTATAGATGGTTTTCATATTGCCTCTCAATCTTTTAATGCGCGATTTTAACATACATCTGATACATTTAATCCATTCTGACAAAGTGTCAAGGTCTTCTTTTTCATGTCTGGCCCATCGCCTGGCGTAGTTCTCTACAGAATCCATAATATTTATGAAATTCTTACGCCAGTTGAAGGATCTGGGTTCCCTAAATTTAGGACCTTTTAAAATTAGTGATCTAAGGTCCTCATTATTAACTATATTTACGTCACCAGTAATAACGTGTCCAGCAGGACTATAGATATAGGGCGAAGAAGAACATGAACACGATGGAGGATTATGTTTCAGATATTCGATATCCAGGCCCTGTAAAGTGTTCTTGTAATTAAAAAGTTTGGAAGCAATAGTCGATGTATATTTGTAGGAAATACAAGGTGTAGTCTTTAACTTGAAATATGGTGGAATACAAGACTGGACCCTTTTGTGATTAAGAATATTGCTTATATTAACCGCGTCAAATGCTATGGTCTTTAAAGTGACTTTGTTAGCAAATACAACCTATCATTTAGTCGTATTTTTGCCGGTCTTAGGACTTTGTTTTTATACTAAAGAGCAAGGTTCTGTTAGAGCCTTTTTGTAATTGCTGAAAAATCACAACTTCTTAGTAAAACATTTTCTAGTTAGATACATAAAGTATTCGATCTATTAAAACAGTAATATTGATATTTTATGGGTTAATATTTAGACATTGAGTCTTCTGGGCTTTCTTATAAATATCCATATGACATATTTAATAGTTTACGAATGTTTTTGTTTTTGATGGTAAAAGAGTGAATATATTTTGGATAAAACTTAGAAATACAGGGCATTAAGATCGGTTTTGGAGAAAAATCATACTCATGAAACACATTGCTTAATTCAACTTTAATTCTAATAAACATTTGTCATCTGAGGAAGAAATGTGATATGGACTTATATGCTGATATTCCATTTCTTTCTATGTAAAAAAAAAATGTTTAAACTGGTTGTTTCTAACCCGATCTAGTGGGACTATTACATATACACTATCTTTTTCAAAGATCATGTCTATGTGGTATAATTCTTATATTTATTGAAACGATGGCCATAACTACATAGATAGCAATGTAAAAAAAAAAAAAAGGAATTGAGCGACATTCAGAAGTGCTACATATAAGAAATTGATACTAATGGTACTACATTTATTCAGGGGATAGAGTTAAGGTATTAGTGATAAAAAAAATAAATGAACACAGATCGTTAGGTGCCTTTCTATTAAATTACAACTGTAAGACATACACAGTATTTTAACAGGTAAATATCCTTGTCTAATACGACTGTTAAACTTCTTATATAACTAACAAAGCATTTGGGTGTCATGTTATATTTTTAAATGTGGATATTAGTATAATCAGCTTTGTTCTAGAATGTTACAGAAACCATATCAAATTGATTAATGAATCAAACGTAAAATTTATTATGATCACAGGGTTTAATTTTGTCACAGATCCCCATTGCTTATCCCTCCAAATTATTTCCATTGAGAAGGGTGTTGATTCCTGCATGGAGATATATTCTCTCCAGATCAGGAAGTTTCGCTGGCAGCTTTGCAGTTTCTGATCGCTGTAAAAACAAAACTCATATCCTCATTCTGTTTTAGACAATACTTGGTTCACAGCAAACTGCCTGAACTTTAAACAAGAAATAAGAAGATTTAGGTGCGATTCTGACCAAAATCGCATCTGTTAAAGAAATCACAATTCTTCCGAAGAAAATTGAACGTGTCGGAAGTAAGAAAATAAAATGTTAAAGGATATCTTTTTAAGGTATTGGTATTAGGCTAACTAACACATATCTGTACATTGATGTTTGTCCGTTTTAGTGTTTTAGGTGGTGTTATCTTGATAAATACAATGTTTTACTTTAATGATGTTTAACTTTAAAGTACGATATTTACTGCAAAATATTATTTTATTCATATTTACCTATGGTTCCACGTCAATGCAAGAATTTCTAGAAGACTAAACGATACTTTGTTTAAGCCACTGGCTATAACACAGTAGATAAAATCATTTATATTATGGAAAATGAAGAGTGTGACCTTTCGTTAATCATGGTTGCCATAAAAATCATTCATTTACAATTTGCCTTTAGTGTTGCTGAAATTGCTTTAATCTATTATTGATTGCAGCAGTTTAAGCAAACAAAAGGACATATCATATTCTGTGGTGCAGTTCATCAAATTTTGTTGGACCAAGCTCTTTTGAGAGTTGTAATGGCAGGCAGTGGTGATGATTATCAGAATTAACCTATGTGGTATTTTACGACTCATCATCGGCATGTTCCCTGACGAACGGTAAACGATTGTATTATCAAAATAAACAATTTTTGAAAATATTGAAATTAAGAAAACGTTTTGATTTCAATGTAACATCTAACTCGTTTTACTTATTTTAACAAATCTTAAGTTAAAAACACTTATTTTTGTTTGTTTGTTTGTTGTTTTTTTTATATTTGTTTGGTTGGTTGGTTGGTTTTTTGTTTTTGTTTTGCAAAATCCTTTCATTCAGGAAAACAATTGCAATCTAAAGTTGAAAACGGTCCTTCTGGACAATTTAGATGAGTTTTACTTATCAAGGTAAATTAATTTTTTTTTCCAAAAATTCTTTAATGGAATGAAACCAGGAAACACGTCAATCTCATTAAGGTAATTTTCTCTTTATTACCAGGAATATACTGAGAAACTTTAAAAGATATTAAATTCGATGCTTAGTAGTAGTTGACTAAATTAGACTAATAGACCCTCCTATTAAATCAATAAAGCGTCCATTGCCTTAGGAGAGGCAGGGGATAGGAAGCTGCACACGTTACGTGTGGTGTACCATCTAACTTCTCTATTGTTTGTCCTGTTCTTCAGATGAAGAGTAACAAGTGAGTAATATTGTTTAAAATTGTTCAGTGTTTAATGATAACTAAAAGTAGTACTTAATTATTCTTCTATTTACCGAAGGCTGATAAAGATATTAAATATGAGTTCATTGCTAAAATAACTTTAAATTTTTTTCACATTTTTGATGTTTTATATCAGTCGTATACAGCGAATAATAGACAACAAATAAAAGGAATAGAACTAAATATGTCCATGCAAAAGAGAATTTTTATTTCTGTCAGAAGGAGATATAAAAAGATGTCTTATCTTATATGGTTATATTTTAACATTAAAACTAACTTAGAATTTAATTCATCATTGTTTTTCTTGTAAACTATAACATACTGTTTGGGAAAGGAAGTAGGAGAATAGGTGTGTCAATGTTTGTGTGTGTGTATTTTTTTTTTATTTGATTACTTTATAGTCAATATTGTAGATAGATCTTGTTCTTTTTTTCCTTGAAAAAAAAAATGCCGTTGATTGATTTTAATCCAAATGAATTTAAATTAAAAAATATATCTGTCTTGCCCTGACAAATATGGTAGATAAAATGCTGCTTGTTCCCTAAACTTAAACAGATTTAATTTACATATACAAGGGGAAGGGGGGGCTACATGGGCTAAAATTACAATGAATAAAAATATGGGGGAGAGGGTTGCTACATTATGAAAAAAAATGGTACTGTAAATACGAAACATAAGTTTGAAAAATCGGTGGCATAAAATAGAGCATAGATATTCACAACATGCACACAATGTTCCCTAGAGTTTTAGTTGAAAGTCATGATAATACGTGTGAAATTTTGTGATCATTATAAAAACTTAATCAATGAAATGAGCTCATACATATCTGAATGGAATTTTGGGCAACCATCAAAATAGACAGAGGTATTATTTTATAACATTTCTGATGACTTGATTTCATTGCAATAGTGACATTATTTTCTGATCAACCCCGTACATCAAATGTCACTTGTCGTAAATAGAAGTGGACTCTTTTAGGAAGGAAAATGTCTTTATATACATATGTACTCTTGTAAAATACAATGGAGCATTTTAATATTTTTATCGTTTTTATTTCTAAAAATAATACATTAATGCTGAGATTTGTACACATATACTGTGTGATATACTTTGTTATTGTTAGATTCTGAGTTTTCTCAAGTAAAATGATCCGTACAACATTCATAGTTTAAACATAAACAAACATTTCATTTCATTTCTTACTACCATTTATGATTTTCTTTCACTGTCAAAATAATTCTGAATTGTAAACGTTCATACAAAAAAATGCATTTTAATAATACTTTTTGAAAGCAATATTTAGTTATTTATTTCGTTATTTAACACATGTACACAAAATTCATCATCCTTAAAAGACTGAGATTTGTTTGTTTGAGATTTGTCAATGGTTTCTTTGTCCTGCTTTAACGTTCCTCTATTGTTACACAATATAGGTACTGGAACTTAATCTTGACTTCGTCTAATTATATTGTACTCCACAAAGCAACTTTTCATGGAAGTATTGATATATCAAAACAAAACTTCTTTCAAGATATAACAGAAACCGATTTAAAACTTCACACTTTGGTTGGAATGTGAAGAGTTGGGCTTGAAACTTAGAAACAGACCGACATTCTGTACATTTTACAAACCAGTACAAGATTTTAAATATATGAAATATTTTAAATATTTTTATAAATATCCTTATGTTATATAATGTTATAAATATCCACCATGTTAAGAAACCAAAGGATAAAATAATAACTAACTTATATTATACTAAACATCACATAATCTTTAGACGACATCCGTTAAAAATGATAAACTACAGTATTTTAGTTACGAAAATAATATTAACTATTAAGCCTTTGGAAAACATAACGAATTTGAAATTTAAAAAAAACACCCAGACAAATTTGACAAATTTCCACAAATACAAAATATTTACTTAATAAAGATTTTTTTTCTACCCACAGACCTGCAAAAATGATGACTTACTGGAGCCCGCAATCCTTACTGCTTGTTATTGTTTATATTACAATAACTTATGCCGAAAATGATTGGAATCTGGAAACAACCAGTTTTGAGTTCAATATCACTCATGTACTTTTTCAAAGCATTCTTTATTGTGGAAGTTCAATAATTTGCGACAAATCTTTTCTATCAATTTTCGACATACCAAACCAAAGCGATTCGAATACACCAAGATGCGGAACTTGTTCTTGTAATGAAACATGTTTGTCTCCTTACTCCTATGAAAATTGCTGTCCAGACGTTTTCTTTAGGCATGGGCTTCGGGAATGTAGAGATGTTAAGGTTTTATTGAATGGGACACATTTTAAAGAAGTAATTGGTTCATGCCCTGTCGGAACCAATTTTAACTTATCAACAGAATGTACAAAGGAGAGATCCAAAGTGGATATTCTTCTTCATCCGCCAGTGACTAGTGCCATCACGAAAATTTCATACATCAATAAGTACTGTGCTTCTTGTAACAATGCATCTTTGTTGGAAGAATGGAATGTGAATATTGAATGCGAAAAGGAAACAGATTTCAACTTTCTTTCATCGTACCAAGAAATTATAGATTTAGCAATTATACAGTCATGTAGGATAATATATATTTCCCCAATTTCGGCTCGAAATTGTTCTAAGAAATCTGATGAAAAAATAGGATCTTGTAATGTTACAGGATCGTGGTTATTTTATGACAAACAAATAGAGCAAGCTTGTCTCAGCCAATATGATGTTACAATAGGTATCTTTAGAAACATTTTCTGTGCCATGTGCAATCCACCTAAATTTGAAGAACGTTTAGTAATAAATCAATGTGAAAATTCTACCAGTATCTACAAAAAAGCATGTTCTTTTCAACCAATATTAGAAGCCTCGTTTCCGTACAAGAATTTCTTTTGCTTTGTTTGTAACCAAGGTGATAACAACACTCAGTATTATACCGATGTTGATTTCAAATCAGCCTTTGAGTTCTATGATGAGAACAGTGAAAATCCTTTTCAATCCACAATATCGTTCGATTATAGTGATGCTCATATAAAGCAATACGTCAATGAGGTCCTCAGAAAACCTACTCTAGGAAATACTCTGCCTATAAAAGAAAACCTCTATAGAAAGAATTATCTGTTGAAATGCCCAACACGATTTGACTTTCAGTCCTCTCCTATCGGTCCTCCAGGAGTACGTTCTGATTTACACTCGCCACCCATACCTTCTTTTTCATTCAAGAAACCATCATCTTCAATGATTAGAGTTCCAAAAATAAATATAACTAGTGTACTTATAACAAGCTTTGCATTTTCATCTCTTGGTGCCTGCAAACCAGAATCCTTGCCGAACTACACAATTACACTTCAGAAATCCTGTTCATGTAATGTAGGATGCAGAGAAGACTGCTGTGACGATTTTGCATTTACACAGCCTTGGACTTGTATTGATGATCAATTCAACAGGGACGAAGATGATCAAGGTAAAGATTACTTGGCGATTGGTGGATGTATTTGGGATCAAAGTGTGGAACATTTTTGCACTGATGGTAATGTGTCACAATTTTATCAGGCGTTTCCTGTGACAAAAGGATTCAGAGAAACCTATGTAAATTTATTTTGTTATTTGTGTAACAAGAAAACCCCAGACGGAATACACATTTCTGAAAACTTGACACAAGAATTATACGTTTGGCCTCTGGAAGCTGATTGTAATACATATATAAATTATAGAAACTTTCAATCATTACAAGAACTCATTTATCATTTTAACAGTAGTTCCTGTGTATTGAGGTTTTCACCACCTTATGATACTGAAAAATGCAGTGATTTCTGTCATCAAGGACAGTACAACAGTATCCAAAGTTGTAATATTTCTGGAACATGGACAACATTTAATGAAGATATCAAGAACGCTTGCGAATTAACAGAAGTTTTCAGATTTCCAATGATTGAAGTGGGTAATATCTATTATAAAAATAAATTTTGTAGCATTTGTAACCCATTTCCGGAACTTTCTATTGATGGTCCCTGCAGAGATGTTCCCAAAAACTCCAGCGTTGCAAGAGCTTGTCAAGAGTTTCCTGATATAAAAGTTTGCTCTCCATACAAGAATGTTTTCTGCGAAATGTGCTCTAATAATGGAGCAGTCTCTGAGTGTTACAGAGAAGTCGCAGTCACAACAGGTTTACCTCCTCCCACTTCACCACCCACGCCTGTTCCCCCTGAAGAAATTGGCACATTCAGGTCTACATTTACGCTAGCTGCTTACAACACCCCAGACACTTACCAAGAAAAATACATAACGTGTCAACAGAATCAGGTCTTGGATGAAATTCAGGTAATTTTTTTCTCTAAATGACTAGTAGATGAATACAAAATATGGCTTAAAAACAGTTAACACCATGCAAGTCTAATCATTACAATCAAATGTCATTTCATAATTTTTTGACATGAGTCAAATCAATCAACAAATCACGCAATTTTTAACAAGATTTACAAATTTATCTACCATGTGTATTTTTAAAAATAATGGAATTCTTTTTATTCATCTTTCAAATGATTTTATTGGTTTGTTTCAGCATACATGCAGGAACCTGACATGCTTTCCTGGCAAGATCCTTATAAACGATACATGTGTTTCCTTACTTGCTCTTACTTCTCATTTGCGATATACGCTAGCCATGAAGATTGAAGTTCATACATTTGGCATAGTTAATGTAACAGTTAAAGAATTGATGGAATATATGAGAGATCAAATTATGTTTATGATGATTAATTCACTCGACACTTATGTGTACATTGAAGATATTATACTAATGAGTTTAACAAGCTGCACAAGTGTAATTGCTGATCTTAATGAAATGTTTGTGTACTTAAAAGTTTTCTTCCCTGATACCGTTCATCGAGATAAGATGGAGAAAACACTGATTAATTTAACTGAATCCTCTGCAAAATGGAATTTGATAGTCAAAGCATTGCCATCCGGGAATTCATCTGTGTTGAATATCAAAGTGTCTAGAAGTCAGCAGTCCTTGTTTTTACCGTCATTTTTGTGGAAACTTGACAAAGAGGTCCACTGTTTTGTTCTTGCAAATGAATTGAAACATGGACCAGCATTATACAGAAATGTGTTTGTGAGCCCTTTGTTGACATGCCCTCAAATGATTCTGAGGGACAAAGAATTTGGAATTAATTGGAAAAAAATCAGGATTGAATATACTTTTTCAGAATTTTCTCTTTCCTCTCATCAGTTTGGGTCTTCAGAAGGTGGTGGAATAAGGGTCTGTGCTAAGGATATACCATCATACACCAATGCATTGAGATCAGTGGTGGTGAAAAATGACAGCTTGACCCTCACAATTGTAACTCTTATTTGCATTATCATTTCTTTGCTCTGTTTGTTAATAACATTTATAACATACTGTATATTTCCAATTCTTCGAACTCTCCCTGGCATAAACAACATGTGTTTAGTGGTATCTCTGTTTTTAGCGCAATTTCTTATGATAGTTAGGCCGTCTTTTAGTTCAACAGGTTTAGCAATAGTATCTGCCCTCTCTCATTTTTCTTGGCTTTCCATGTTCTTGTGGCTTCAAGTCTGCTCTTTCCACATGTATCGCGTATTTAGTGCAAAAAGTCGATCAGAATTTAACGGTAATCAAAACAGAAAAATAGTGATGCAATATATCTTTTACGCTTTTGGTAGTTCTTTATTTTTTGTCACAATCAATATCTTTGTGACGTTGATTGTCACAAAAGGCGAAAATACAGGATATGACAATGTGTCAACGCTAATGACGTACAAACTAGCATTTATTATAACACTCATAACTCCTCTATGTTTTGTATGTGTGACAAATGTTATATTTTATATCCTAACCGCCTACAAAATACATTCTACCCCTAGTATAGAAAGTACGACTGGTAACAGGGTCCACTTTGCCGTATACGTAAAGTTATTTTCTCTGACCGGGTTGTCGTGGATTTTGCAGATCATAGATACATTCGTGGCGTTCTCTGTCTTATCCTACTTTGTTGCTATTCTGAATGGCCTACAGGGCTTTTTTATTTTTATGAGCTATGTTTGTAATCAGAGAGTATGGAAGTTGTACAAGAAAAAACTTTGCAAATTTCCTGTTTATAGTCCCAAATCAAGTATCACCTCTAAAACATATACAACATCCATGTAAATCACATGTTCAGTTGAGCTCATTGAAATAGATAAATATTGCTTTGTATTTATTATCATTGTAATATAATGCATTCTTGACGATACATTGAAATGATTGATTGCATAGAATATACCGATTTTATCATTAAAATAAGCTGAAACATTGAAGTGTCGTCATTCTTCTGCTGGCAGAATATGAAATACAATTTAATTTTTGCAGTCCAATACCCTAAAACCTTGAAAATAAGCCGCGGCGTATTTTAAGTTTTGGTAAGAAAGTTGGGCTTATTTTCAAAACCGACTTATTTTCAAATCGCGGCTTATTATCAAAACAAAACCCGATAAGCGATGAGGGCATAATCACGGCTTAATTTCAAAATAATAAATAAATTCTAATCGATCGATTGTGAACTTCAACATTTGGTCGAGTATAACATGCACGGCTATCATTCGGACATACTGTAGTATAGCCAATTTTTTGTTGTTTACCGCTATATTTAAAACCTTACTGAATTATTGTTAGAATGTTAACTTGTTGTAAATGTTAGATTTATAATCTGTTGACAGTTAAATAATATTGGAAATGCCATGTGCATGTGTACTGTAGATTCCTTATTTTTGCGCGAGTACTTAAAATCGCGAAATGGCCCTTAGACGACAAATCGCGAGAAGTATAATTCGCGAGTGGACGCTTGATTAAGATATTTTATGTGGATTTCAGTACCACAAAAATAAAGCGAGTGATTTTATTTCGCGAGTGGTTCATCTCGCGTAATTACGCGATAATTAATTCCTCGCGTATATTTAGGAATCTACAGTAATCAAAGTTCTTTTGTTACAAATCATTCAGACACTTGGTTTTAAATAAAACAATTTTATAATAAAATATAATGATCGAAACTAAATTAATTTTGATTTTAAATAACCCAGTGAAAATTCATTCCAATTTTCAATGTAAACACTCCTGTATATGTCCCAATTAAAGCCATTGTTGTGATTATCTCAACACCCCTAATATCAATGGCTTTGATTATTAGGTCACCTGAGTCACTCAGGTGACCTATTGCTATCTGTTTTCGTCCGTCGTGTGTTAACATTTGAACATTTTCAGCTTCTTCTCTGAAACCGCTGAACCAATTTCAGCCAATTTTAGCATATGGCATCTATGTGTGAAGGGGAACACAATTTGTGAATTTCATGGTCCCTGCCCCCCCCCCCCCCCCCCCGAGGCCTGAGGGGTGGGGCTAAAACCACCAAACTTAATGCAATCTGTAAAAATCTTCTTCTTTACTCCTAGACATCAACCAGTCAAACTGTTGATATGATTGTAATAAGCATTGAGCTCTCTACCAAATTTGTGAAATTCATGGCCCCAGGGTCAGGGGTTCTGGTGCGGGGGGGGGGGGGGGGGGGCTATATAGATCATATAGTGAAAGTGCATTATTTCTTTGAAAATCTTCTTCTCTACTCCTGGATATTATTGAAACAAATTGAATACACAGTTATGATAAGCAAGTGTGACTCTACCAAAATTGTGAAATTCATGGCCCAGGGGTCAGGGGTTCTGGTGCTTGGACGGGGCTATATAGATCATATAGTGAAAGTGCATTATTTCTTTGAAAATCTCCTGGGTATTATTTAAATAAATTGAATACATAGTTATGATAAGCATGAGTGACTCTACCAAAATTATGAAATTCATAGCCCCAGGGTCAGGGGTTCGGGGGGGGGGGGGGGGGGGGCTATATAGATCATATAGTGAAAGTGCATTGTTTCTTTGAAAATCTTCTTCTCTACTCCTGGGTATTATTTAAACAAATTGAATACATAGTTATGATAAACAATAGTAACTCAACCAAAATTATAAAATTCATAGCCCCAGGGTCAGGGGTTCTGGTGCTAGGGCGGGGCTATATAGATCATATAGTGAAAGTGCATTATTTCTCTGAAAATCTTCATCTCTACGCAGCAATGGTAAGGCTTCCCGAAGCTTTAAATGCGTTCAAAACAAAACACTGCATTGCAAGGTCGATTTTTATTTCTATTTGTAAATTATCTACTTAAGTACGGCCAATTTATGTAGAGAGTTCTCTAGGCTATATATATATAAGTATTTGTTACGATATCTCATGACCTCGTTGATCACGTGACGGTCATTTCTACTTTTTGAAGTGTTTCAAACAAATCGCTTCGGCGCAGCTGTTTAACACAATTATTATTAACTTTTTGTCACATAGATAAACTCGTTGCATCCTTGTGATCCCGAATTGTGCTTGGGAAAAGTTATACTATTACTCTTGTACAAAATATTTCACAATAAATTCAACTTACCGACAAATTTAAGGGTATTTTCCACTCAATATCGTCAACTGTATTAAAACAAAGCCATCACACATTTTTCCCAAGCAAGATTCAGTTAGAGGGGAATCTCTTCCTACAGATTTCCACAAAAGATCTCAAATAAATACTCATTAATCACCTGCGCCAGGCTCTTTTATACACATATTATAAATTCTACTTCTATCCAAGGGTATAAAAAAGTGTAAATGTCAAAACGTATATTTTCGTATATATATATATTTGAACACGCTGACTTGTAAACAAGAGTAATAAAGCAAAGTTATCTAAAATATTCGATATATTAGATTTTTTAAAAAAAGATTAAAACACGTTTATTTTACACTACCTTTCTGACACTTTATATGCAGATTGAAATAAGGTGTAAAGTTTATGACACTCTCCCCATCATATAGATCATATAGTGAAAGTGCATTATATCTCTGAAAATCTTCTCTACTCCTGGGTATTATTTAAACAAATTAAATACATAGTTATGATAAGCAAGAGTGACTCAACCAAAATTGTGAATTTCATGGCCCCTGGATTAGGGGTTCTGATGTTAGGTAGGGGCTGTATTTATTATAGAGAGAAATTGCATTAATGCTTTAAAAATCTTCTTCTCTGCTCCTGGGTATTATTTAAACAAACTAAGTACATTGTTATGATACGCAAGGATGCCTCTTCCAAAATTGTGAAATTCATGGCCCCAGGGACAGGGATTCTGGTGCTTGGGCGGGGCTATATAGCTCCTATTGTGAAGGTGAATTATTTCTTTGAAAATCTTCTTCTCTGCCCCTGGGTACTATTTAAACAAACTAAGTACATTGTTATGATACGCAAGGATGCCTCTTCCAAAATTGTGAATTTCATGGCCCCAGGGTCAAGGGTTCTGGTGAAAAGGTGCGGGCGGGGGGGGGGGTGACTCTATTGATTATATAGTGAAAAAGCAAAGAAACTAAGTATATAGTTATGATTAGCAAAAGTGCTTCTTCCAGAGTAGTGAATTGCATGACCCCTGGATCAGATGTGCTGGTGTAATGGTGGGGCTCTTGATAAAATAGTGAAAATGCATTAATTCTATTAAATAATCCTGTCTGTTCCTTAGTGTTAAGCAGATAAACAAAGTGATTACTTATGATGAGCAAACAACTTCCGTCCCCAGGGTCAGAGGCTCTGGTGTTTCTCGGTGGGGATGGTGGGGGACTCTATTGATAATATAGTGAAACTGTAGTAAAAATGCATTATTTTTCTTTAAAAATCTTCTCTCCACTTGGGCATATCAGAGGCAAGAAGAGTAAAAGTTTTAATAAGGAAGGGTATTTTTACCCGATTTTTGAACATCTGGACCATTTCGTCAAGTGTTCTGATCCTGGCCAGGGCTCTTTTAATTTGTATTCTACTGAGAGGAGTTATTCCCCTTTGCCGTTTACTTTTGATAATAAATCACTGTAAATAATGTACTTGAAGGGTTAATAGAATAAGAGAATTATGCAAGAATTTTTATTGTATAATACAAAAAGTATTTTCATAGTTTTAATGATCAGGTGGACATGTAAGTAATAAATAAATAAAAATGAGACAAAAATAACTTGTCTTATTAACTGTTCATCAAAGACCAAGAGAGGCCAATGTAAGAGACTTCAACAAGGAATTAAGATAGTACAGAAGCACTGATAGTTTGTTAATATACTGTATGGTGAAAGTGATAAATGAGAAACAGATTAGAACCTATGTTACAACGCACTTTGAAAAATTAGGCAATTTGAAAAAAATGTTCAAAGTGCGTTAATTTTGGGACCATGTTAACGCACTTTGAAAAAAAAAATATTTCTTTTCAAAGTGCGTTAATATCGACCATATTAACGCAATTTGAAAAAAAAGTGTGCACAGCTTGGTCAATATTCTTGCAAATTTTAGATATGATGAATAATTATTTGAATTCTCGGTTCTGACGTTAGAATCTGAGATATAGACGTTTTAAAGATTTTTTAGGAGTTATCTTGTTTCCAAAGGTTCTCTAACTGTTATAAAAGGGAAACGGGTCTTTTAGAAATAATGTAGGAATGATTGTTTAACGGCACAGTTTCGTTTCTTTTTTTTCTTTTCTTTTTTAAATTTTATCCAGTCTCTAATAAGTTCGGTAGATATAGGTGTCGATAAGTGACTTAAAGCATTGCATTTTTCTTAGGGAAAAGGGAGCAATTATGATTTTTCCATACCATGAAAATTCTCTCTCTCTCTCTCTCTCTCTCTCTCTCTCTCTCTCTCTCTCTCTCTCTCTCTCTTTTTTCTCTCTCTCTCTCATCTATCTATAATATTCATCTATCTATCTATTGTGAACATATATGAAACAATGGTTGACTCATTTATTTGATAGTAAGAAAATAAACCTTAGCCACATTACTTACTCGACTGATTTTTTTACCTCACTAATAACTTTATCTCAAAAAAGTTATGCAGTCAGATTACTTCTAAATCTGTGATTTGATATCATAAAAACGCTAGACATGTCAAATAGCATGTTTTAATAACCATGTAAATGCCTTTTTCTGAGGAATCAATGTGGATACATTTTGAATAAAGGTTATGCGGCTCTCTTCTTTAATATAATAGGGTGCGTAATTGTTTTTCAGGAATGCTCATCTCAATTTTTTCATCTATTTTACGTTAACTCAAATTTATTGAGAGAAATAATATCAATGTCATACCAGTTATGTAAATACATATATTTGTGTAGGAAAGATGGAGAGTTGGGCTGAGAGACTTTCTACCTGTCTTCTCGTTCTCGATGAGGGTAGATCAATTCATCAGTTTTTCGGAAGAAATAT